TCGATTAGTCGTCGATTAATCGTGGCAGCCCTACTACTAGTAACTAAAAGGTTCCTCTTAAGAGGTTTTAATCATAGAGCTGCAACTCAGCAGACATTCTGAAGCTGTATGATGGTAACAAACTCCAGACAGTGGCAGGTTTAGGAAATGAACCTGTCCTGAAGGGAACAAAAATGCTGATTGCCTTGACTGATTTTACAAGTCTGTACAGATAAATAAACCAAAATTATTTGTACAAAAGAATGCAAATTCCAACCCAGTSATTTTATTTCTATGTAAGAAATTGCATTTGTCAAATCGAGCATCCATGTACTGCAAATATGAGTTGTTTCCGACACCCTGATTCACCTGTGTACTGAGAAGCAAGAACAGCTTTAAGACCAGTAGAACACATGTAATGCACAGCAATTTCAAAAATATTTTTTTAAAAACAGTTAACCACAAAACATGACCAACATTAACTCTGTTAACGTTACAAAATATGAAAAATAAAACTATTTAAGACCAGAGAGACTCAGGAGGAMTAGAAGCAGGACAGATAAAAAGGTTTGGTGTTTCACCAAATGAAAAATGTATCAACTCCACAGAGGAGAAGACATCAGTTATCGGGTCCATGTGGCCAGTCGAGCCACTGCAGTGGAAAAACACACAACAAAAGGCGTGACAGAGGAAGTTGAGGGGGATGGTTTGCGGAGACCCTGAGCTAAAAGAATGGTTGATTAAAGGAGGAATGCTGGGGGATGGGTGTAGTGGTGAGGTGGTCAGGACAGATCWATCACTGACCATTCCAACAGGCGCATCTAATGTCAGTTCAGTAGCAATTTGGGTAAAACAATTTGTACAGTATTCAARCCAGCCTATTGGCCCAAAACAGAAAAGATGGCCTTTTTCAGGCCTCTAATAGTCAGTCTTTTATAATAGAATAGAAACAGCCTTTTATTGTCCTGCAGAGGTGAAATTCAGGTGTAACAGCAGCAGCAGATAAGCAGATACAGGTTCACACAAAAACGTTCTAGTGTTAAAAACAATATATATGAAATAAGAGTAACAGTAGCAATAGTAATAAT